TTTTGAAGAACTGCAAGAAGAACGCTTTTGGAAATGCTTCGAGCAGTCCACAACATGTGAGATTGTTTTCCTTTTCAAATTTATAATATTTTCGGGAGATATTTTTGTCTAGATCCGCTTTAGGTTTCAGTAGCATTCACGGGTTACTTTGAATTCACATACGGAAGCGATGAATGAATGAATTACTTTATACAGTAGTACCATATTTTGCGCTCTAATGCAGAAAAGATGTTGATTCTCTCAGTTTTGCTTCCTTGTGTAGCACTATGAAAAAAAGAAACGAGGTTCTCAGAAAAAAAAAAATCCGCTCTGTTACGTTTCGTATTCTCGATAGGCATTCATTCGAAAGTACTGTACTTTTCTGTGGCTTACTCAAATTGTTGCTCATTTTGAAAAATTCTTCTTCGATATTTTTTCTTTTATTTTTTCGGGTTTCTTCGTCGAAGAAAAAGTTTTTGGGCTTATTCTTCGCCGTGAATCGGATTAGGTTGCGCGAATGTGATGAGATTCAATAAGATATTGGTCTTAAATGTTGAATTATAGGGTTTCCTTCAAAATGCTAAGCTACCTAATCCAACGTTTTTGGCCTTTTCTTCGCCTTGAATCGATTAGCTTGTTAGGTAGTCATGAGATTTTTGAAGATCTAGTGTATTAATATTGTATTCCCGTTTTTCCTCGAACATATTTAGTACAGTACCTTTTAATCAAGTTCCACATGCACTTGAGTAAGACATGCAAACAGGTTTTTCAGTCTAAAATTTTCTTTAAATCATATCCCTGAGTAAGACGCGAAACCAATTTTTAATGACTCTGAAACTGCAATATTTCGAAAATAATAACACAAATTTGAATTTAGGCATAAATCGTTAATTATTCCAAAATTTCAGATCATAATCAAATATTTTGTAATGTACACCTGAACTTCTAAAAATGTATACCCACCCATGCTCGCACCCCTCAATTTTGAGAGAAAAGATGCGCGTGGTACGTGTTCATGCAGTACAGGTATTTAAATCTCTGATTTTTTTCGGCCGTTGCTGCGATCTTTTCTTGTACAGTTCTGTGACGAGCACGGACTAAGTTATCGTGCTTTGAGTTATGCCTGGGAAGTTCGACTACAATTGCGACAACTCGCCGAGTCCAACGACTTGTGGAACAACACCAACAACGGCAACGAAGAACGTCTGAGCCAAGTCTTGAGCGAAGCCTTGTTCATGAACTGTGCAGAGCGGCAAGTGGATGGTTCTTACGCTGTCGTCGGCACGGGTGAAACAGTTCGAATCCATCCTTCGTCCGTCCTTTTCCGTCGTAATCCGGATTGCGTGTTATTCGTCGAGCTGGTGGAGACGAGCTCCAAGTATATGCGACATGTGACCCGGATTGACCGGCAACTTGTGGAACCGAAGCTCTCTCGCATCCGACAGGTCATCCAGGCGACGATCTCTTCGAAGCGGCAACAACAACCCGCCTGACCCATATGATTTCGCAATGTGTCGGAAGAAAGAGCTTTGAAAGAATTCTCAATCTTTGGAGCATTTGATATTTGTTTCCAGGAAGAATTTGTTCAGGTTTTTTTATTCGCTGTTGAAGTGCGAGTTCTTGGCCGGAAAATACGCTTGTTCTTTTTCGTAATTTATACAGTTTTGATTCAGATTTTGCCCCCGATACTTTTTTGAAGGGATGACTTGAGCGAGAGCCCGATTGACTAAGACTTATAAAAGGGGGTATACAATATCAGAAAGTTACTTTGTCTGTAGAAATTCGTAATTTATGTGATGAATTATCGTTCGTGACAGTGACGGACTTTCTTGGTATTGGATTTTCCTGAGATTTGCAATAGTAAAATGTTTCGGTTTTNAAAAAAATGTTGACCGCGGAATTTACCGCAAATAGGGCTAATCTCGGTGCCGAAATTGTTGGGAAAATTTTCTCTGCCTTTTTTGGAGCACAAATTCAAGTTTCAGGGAATGATCTCCTGAGATTGATTTTCATTACCGAATGTTGGTCAACTTGATTTGCCGGGCGACTTTTCTGACCAAAGTTCTCGCTTTTACTGTTAATGCGAAGTCATCAGATTCCAATTTGATGGGATCATGATGTATTTTTTGTTTACTTTTCTTTGCAGGGATTCCCGTTCAACGCGTTCATTTCAAGTGATTCGTTTGTACGTTGTGTTGTGACGTGCCAAGTCAGTGTACGGAAGCTGTCAATTTGACAGACGTTTCGGGGTAAAGATTGTCATATCATTTATTCGGAACCATCGTTTAGTTTATCTTCGCTGTTGGAAGCCGTTCAGTTGAAAAATATCTTAGCACAGTCTAAAATAAATTTTACATGTAAAAAAAACCGAATTATTATCTTTGACTTGTGAGATTTTCCAAGTTGCCTTATTTTGTTATCCAGCGTAAAAAGTAATTTAAATTTTTCAGTGACCTCAATTTTTTATTCATTTAATTTTTTTTCGCTCCGAGGAAAGTTTATATTTGTGACGTCAATTTTGAGATTTGCCAACTTCCGAGAATTTCACTGATTTTCGGACATTTTCAAGGATTCGGTGGCGTTGAAACGATGTACGTTCACGATGTGATGGCGTGTTCTTTCCCGCAATGGTACTTGGACTTTCACGAGATCACCATTCCGAGGTATGTAATCAAAATTGTTAATCCGAATGAACCATTGAACTCCGATTATCTTTGCTGATTACACGCTATATTCGTCGAATGATGAAAAGTTTTTCGAAAATGACCTGATACGAGGATATCGTACAGTTGAAATTCGCTCTAATATGGAATTTCGGATCCTGTAATTGAATAATACTGTACCTTGAAATAATGCTGAATTACGAAATGCAAATGTGCCATGAATCCCTTCAAAAGGTCAGTGTTTTATCCGAAATATTTATCCACTAAGATTTGTAATGCTCATAATTTTGAGTAGAATCTCGTTACAGCGAAGTGTTTGTGTCTTCAAAAAAGCTTCGTTGTGAACGAGAATTTGGTGGAACGGAATCAAAATTAACATTCTGGCCATTGGACGGGGGCTGAAGAACAAATCGTTTCAAGCGTAAATTCTTCATACGATTCGTTATAGCGGGATTCTGCTGCTGTTATAAAGCTACTGTGCGGCATATATAATGGCTAATGGATTCAGTGTGAAAAATTGAAGTATGTAAAATAGTTTTTTGTGCATTTCATCATACGAGGTGAAAATAGGTGACAGTCGGAGTAGATTATGTAATGCGTGCATTTTCTGGGGTACCACCGCAAAGTAAATGCTTTCTTTCCTCGTGGAATAAAATATGGATAATTTCCCTGGACCGGATAAGCTAAGATCTATATTGTATATGTGTTTCCTCTTGTTTCGTAGATCACCGAAGCACTCACTCACTTACTTATCTTTCATTCCTATTGAAGCGTGTGTCTGCCGTTGTCCGCCGACTTCGTTGCCTACCTTCGTGAAGACGGGCTCATTTTGCCTAAAGAAGCCATTCCTTCTTCTGACGCGATCGTATCGAATCGAAAACGTTCT